AAACTGAAGTTGAAAAGTGCAGACTTGATGAGGATCTTTTGTTGCACCAAATCTGAAATTTTGCTCCATTCGCAGCTTTCATTTTTATTGTTGGTTATTGGGAATTTTGAACTTGATGCAAACACAGGAATACAGACATTCTGATGAGCTCTAAATGAGACTCAATCCATTGTCTTGGAATGTTCCCTGAGCTCTGGCAGCCTTGGTGCTGTGCCCACTGCCCTGGGGAACCTGGTCAGTGCCCAACCAGCCTCTGGGAGAAGAACCCAGATGGCTTTGGGAAATGCCTCATATTCTTGGTAGAAAACGTGGCAGAATGGATTAACTGAGTGACAGTGACACCAGGAGCTCCCACCTTGTCCAGTCTCTCAGACCAAACTAACAGAGAACAGTCTGGTCTCATTGTTCACTTCAGCCTCTGCCCTCCTACTACATCACAGGGGTGGCTTTTCCCACAGCTTTTCCCCAGGTACAGAGTTTCTGGAGTGTTCTGAGCTCCCACCCATCCCACCAAGGCAGGGGGCTCCTCTGGGACTTGGTCTTGTCCTTCAGATCTTCACTGGTGCCTCACCAAAGTCCATCAGAAAGCCCTGCACAGCAAGTCCCTTCTCCTTCCCACTGTGTTGTAACAGGTGACTTCCAATATCTTGATCCAGCTGAGAGAGGGGCCAGGGCTGTGCAGGGGTGGCCCAGGGCTGTCTCAGCAGCTGTGGTGCCCTGACCTGTTGAACATCTAGGCAGTTGTGCACCAGGAACTTGGCCAGAGGGGTGGGTGACATCATGGAGAGCTTTAAACTTGCTGCTTTTTGAGGACGTGGCTAAGCCATTTTGTCCCCACAGGGTGGGACAGTTAATCCAGGCTCTTCTGCCTGTGGAAGCCTGTCCTTGCTGGGAGCTGCCAGGAGCACTGGAGCAGCACCAGAGCTTTTGCTGGCTTTGTGTCCCAGTCCAGAACAAAGCACTTGTTGCCTTTGGGTGTTGATATCACCAACGGCCTGGGGGGTCCTGCTGAACTGCTTCAGAACGTGGCCAGGCACAGCAGGACCTCCCTGTGGTGGTGCTGTACCAGGGGTGCTGTGCCAGCTGCACTCACACCACGTGGGCTCCTCATTGCCCTTTTCCTCCTGTATTTTCTTCATCTGGAAGCTCTCACTCTTCTTCTTCCATGAAGCCACACTGCCCACAACTCAGCTGCTCCCTGGCGACAGATGATGTGGAGGAGCTGTTGAGGAACAGAGTGAAACCCAGCTGCATCCACCAGTCCTCTAGGAAGGGAGCTGCTGGCATGGAAAAATCATAGAAACGTGGAATGGTTTGGGTTGGAAGTGAACTTAAAGATGGGTTTGTTCCATCCCCCTGCCGTGGGCAGGAACATCTTGCACTAGACCAGGTTTCTCAGAGCCTGGTCCAACCTGGCCTTGAATTCTCTGGGTGGGGAATTCCTGACTAAGAAATCCCTGCTCTTCCCTGGACTCTCTGCTCTCTGGCTGTAACTGAGGGATGGGAGAGGAATTCGCCTCCTGAGCAGCCTGGCCTCCTTCCCTGCCAGCTCCACTTATCCCTCCCCAGTCTGGGAGCTGCTGGAAGGGGATGGGATGGAGGAAATGGCTTCCCCACAGGACACTGAGCCCAGAGCAGGATGTGTGATGAGCTGAACAAATGATGTTCCTGGAAGTGTCTGATTAGAGGATAATCACAATTTTCCTACTTCTTGGTGGGTTTGGAGGCTCTCAGTTACAGGGAATAGTCACTGTTTTCCTTGTGCTGGGGTAAAATATCTGAGCGTGTGCATGCTCCTGGCTACAAAAAACATGGATTGTTTTGATCAACAGAAAGGATTCCACATGAGCTATTTTATGGCTCTGTAATGACTGTTGGGGTGACAGTCTGAATCTGCATTGTGGGCTTGTATCCCTTCCACTGCACTTATCCCTAACTGGGAGATCAAGGACAGGAGGAGCCAGGGAAGAAGATAAGGACCGAGCTGCTGTTGTGAAAATGCAATCTGAGCTGATGGGATGTAGTGCTGCTAGCCAGGGTTGTTTTGCAGTGACTCAGGGCATTGTTATTCTACAGGTTTTCTTATTCTTAATTAGTGATTTTAGAAAGGGATGTAGGATGAAAATAGAAACAAATGGATATTAGGTGATCTCAAGGGACTGCGCAGTTGTGGACTTAGAATTGAAATTCTTACCATTTATTGCATATTTAGTGAGAGTTTTACACAGAAGATGATGAGGGAAAGCACAGGAGTGGTAACACGTGTATCAAATGAATAAACAGCATCCTGTCAGATAAATGCAGGAAAGTGTTCCTGTGTTTTTACCACTGTCCCTGTGCTGCCCATTTCATACAAAATATATGATATCAATTCCTAAACTTTGTAAATGAACCAATCCTCGAGTCCATGACCTGTCCAGAGGTGGTTTGGTTTGCTTTGATCCAAAGCCTTTGGATGAAGCTCCTGCAGCTCTTTGGGAAATGAGTGTTCACACCAATACTTACAGTTTAATTCACTCGAGAGATGTGACTGCTCGGGAAAACGGAGCCTTTATTGCCTGTCAGAATTCCTTAAGGTTTATCCCTCCACACTTGGCAGTGTGCCTGTTTTGCTCAGCTCTCTTCTCCTGCTTCAGCTGTGTTAGAACTTCACTGAAAGCCTTTGATCAGCTGAAGCAGAGACTGAGCTTTAAAAGATTCCCAACCTTGTTTTCCTTGTCCACCAGCCTGTTGTTCTTACACACCCTGACCACATTCAGGGCCTTTTGTGCTCTTCTGTGACCAAAGGGAATATGTACCCTGATCCATCTTGGAATCACACATGGATGGTCCCATCTCCTCCGTGCTCTGAGGAACCTGGAAACACCTCAGAGCTGCTTTTCAGTCTGGTCCCTGTGGACACCAGCTGTCCAGGAATAATTTTACAGTGTCTGTGAAGAGGGAAAGAATAAAGAGTTCTTGGAGGATGAGCAGACTTGGAGAATTTCTGAAGGGATCTTCTCCTCAACTGGAAAAACTCACAGGGCTCAAAGATTACAAATATATGAAAGACACTCTAGTAAGCATTTAAATTTAAAACATTTCTAAAGGCCTTGCAGTAAGAAAAAATTCCTTCTATTCCAGGATCTTGGAAGGGCCTCGGGCATTGCAGTAGGAACCATCCAGGTGTTGTGACAGCCCCTCTCCTCATGTGATGCTATCTCAGTTGGACTACAGGGGTTGTACAAGGAGAGGACAAAGGCAGGTAGCACAGAAATTACCTGTCAAGATGCTCAGTGGAAGAACCAGGACAGGATTTCACACCTCTCTGCCTCAGCCCAGTGGTGTCCTCACGGTGACCTCCACACATCTGCCTTGAATTGTGGGGTAATTCAGGCTGGAAGGGACTTTTGGAGGGTTGTAGTTCACTTCCAGCTCCAAGCTGGCCAAGCTTCAGGCTTGGATCAGCTTTCCCAGGATCAGCTCAGCCAACACTTCCCTCCCCCAGTGGTGGGGCACAGGAGCAGGACTGGGCCAGGTTGGTGGCAGGCAGAGGTGGCAGAGGTGGCTGTGGCTCTGCTGGGGAAAGGTTGCTGCTCATCTGGAGTTACCTGAGATCTCCTGAAGGAGCTGTGACCAGAGGTGCTCTTGTTCCAGTGGGTTGGGTCACCCTACACAGTGCAATCCTAAATGTGTTCTGCCCTCAGTGGCTTTGGTTGAGTTACATTTATGGAGGGCTCATGAAGCTGCTCTGCCAGCAGACCTGGAGTATTTTCTTCAGGGCCCCTGTGATGCTTTAATTATGATGAATAATCCAATAATAATTATAAATAATAAATATAATTATAAATCATAAATATAATTATAAATAATAAATACAATTATAAATAGAAATTTATTTATGATAAATAATATTATAATATTATAAATACTCCATGAGAGCATGAATTGACCAAGATACATTTGCATGTATCTTGTTTTTGTACCATGGAGGACACAACACCTGGGTGTGCAGGAATATCAACCCCATCCCTCATCAAATCCATGGAATCCTTCCTGTGTTCAGCAGCTGCTGCTGCTTAGAGAGGGATCTGAAACCCTGGCTCTGGGAAAGACAGTGGGAATTGTGCTGTTGGGCTCAGGGAGGGCAGGAATTAACATCCAAACAGGGCTTTGCTCAAGATTAGGTTGTGCTAATGCTGTTGTTAATGAAAAGAGGACTCAGCTCTGGTTTTAATCAGTTCTGTGCATAACAGGAGAGAAGAATTATTTTGCATCAGACACATTTTTGCTTCCATCCCCTTCCAAATCTGTGCCCAGTCATTGCACAGCCTTAGTCCTCCTGACTGTTCTTTTTGTGTGCTGTTGGAAAGGTTGAATTTCTGGCTGCTGGGAGCAAAGTCAAGGGCTCTGAAGGCAGTGACCATTCACCCAGAGTGTGTCTACATCAAAAAAAGAGCCCCCAAAATGTGTCTACATCAAGAAAACATCCCCCAAAGCCTTAGCTCTATAAAGGAAATGCTGTGGTCTTCATTAAACCAACATCTAATGCTGAGTTCAAGCCCTGGCCACTTGCTCTGGAAACATCTGGAGATGAAAGAGAGAGTCCAGCTGGAAGGGCCACCGGGGCAATGGGATGGTCTTGGAGTGTCTGAGGGACAGATGAAGCAGCTGCAGCACAGTTATCACCCTAAATGCTGCCCCCAGACACAGGACTTCCAAATTTAAAATCAGAAGTGGATCTCAGAGGCTGCTCTGTCCTCATGGGAAATGTTCCTGGAGTTGGCCTGGCTTGAAGGAGTGATGTTCAAGAGCTGATGGTGCCTGCCAGGAGATGAGCAGCAGTTATTCATCCCAGAGGGCCTTTGCACAACACTTTACCTGCACAGGCACTGCAATTTTAACATCATTCAGTGGAGCTCTGTGCCAGCCCACAATCTGTGGGGTTTGGGATGATGGTTCAGGCTTTCAGCTTCCACCCTTGCTTTGAGTTGCAAAGTATTCATTATTTCAGACCACGAAAGAGGGGATTTTAACAGTGCCACAGAAAATAAGCAGATGGTGGAGCGAATGGCAAAAACATGACAGGGCTGCCCTGGTCTCCAACCATCTGGTTTGGGCCTTAGTGGGTGTTTGGACCTCGGGTGGATGTTTGGAGCTCACACACACTCGGTCCATGGGCAGCAGGCACGGGGCTGGGAAGGGACAGGGGCATGAACAGCCCACAGATGAGGATCTGACCTCAGGGAAACAGGGGCAGACCCTCGTTCCCCTCTGTAACAAGGGGTTCTGAATTCCACCCACCCCAGCTGAGCTGGCTGTGGTCCCCCTGCAGTGACAGTGGGTGAGGGCTCAGTGTCACTCCAGGGTTTGGCAGGACCCCTCTGACTCCCTCTGACCCTTCTGCACGTCAGGGCTGAGCATTTCCTGCTGCCTGACCCAACTAAAGTGCAGCAATAAAATTCAGGGTGGAGCTGTGTCCAGCTCTGGGGTACCCAGAACAGAGAGGACATGGAGCTGCTGGAGAGAGTCCAGAGGTGATCAGAGGGATGGAGCAGCTCTGCTGGGAGGAAAGGCTGGGAGAGCTGGGATTGTTCAGCCTGGAGACAAGAAGGCTTTGGGGTGACCTAATTGTGGCCTTTCACTACCTGAACAGGCTCCAAAACAGCTGGAGAGGGAGTTTTGACAAGGGCCTGGAGTGACAGGACAATGGGGAATGGCTTCCCACTGCCAGAGGGCAGAGTTAGATGGGATATTGGGAAGGGATTCCTCCCTGTGAGGGTGGGGAGGCCCTGGCACAGGTTGCCCAGAGAAGCTGTGGCTGCCCCATCCCTGGAAGTGTCCCAGGCCACGCTGGAGCATCCTGGTCTGGTGAAAGATGTCCCTGCCCATGGCAGGGGGTGGAACTGGATCATCTTTAAGGTCTTTTCCAACTCAAACCATTCTGGGACTCTGTGACTCATTATAACACTTTTTTAGTGTATTTTTTCAGTTGCAGTGGTGAATTGTTCTTTCTGCAAACTTCCTGCAGAGCTCTGTGTTCCTGTGGGGTAAAGATGATCCTACCAGAGAATCCCAGAACATGCTGAGTTAGAAGTGACAGGACAGAGGGAATGGCTTCCCACTGCCAGAGGGCAGGGTTGGATGGGATATTGGGAAGGAATTCTTCCCTGTGAGGGTGCAGAGGCTCTGGCACAGGTTGCCCAGAGAGGCTGTGGCTGCCCCTGGATCCCTGGAAATGTCCAAGGCCAGGTTGGAGCAACCTGGGCTAGTGGAAAGGTGTCCCTGCCCGTGGAACTGGATAAACTTTGAGGTCCCTTCCAACTCAAACCATTCCATAATTCTGGGATGATTTTTCAAAAGCACATTTGTACCACTGGGTCAGACATATCCAGCTCCCTCAGTGGCAGCAGGCCCAGGGCACACTGTACACCAGCCATGGGCTCTGAACCCCTCTGAAGAGGAACAGGATCTAAAACTAAGGTAGAGAGCCTTAGATAAACTGCCAGCTCATTTCAACACTGTCCCACAGCCTTTCCAAGCATAAGGAATGAGGAAGACTGAGGCCAAAACATTGGAGAGCTTAGGAAACTTTGTCAGCCTGGCTTTGAGCATTGAGAAGGTGCAAAGTACCTTCTGTGTGTGTGTTCATGTGTGTGTGGACTCACAGACCCCACCCCAAATCATGTTCCCTCTGCCTTTGCCTCCTCCAGTTCCGAGCTCACGAGCTGCTCTTTTGAGGAGTTGTTTGAGCAGGTTCTGCAGAGAGGATGGGCTGAGTCAGAGTCACTCACATCCCTCTAGGAACATCCCTGGAGGAGCTTGGCTCCCTTCAGCCCCTTCCCCATCAGGCTCTGCTGGGAGGAGATCTGTGATTCCAGATCCCAAATGCTGCAGTTGGGATGTGCTGGAGTTGAGAGGCCTGGAAGGAGCTTGGTGGAGCTGGGTCCTGTCAGCTCAGGAGCTGCTCCATCACACCCCAAGCTGTCTCTGCACAAATAATTCTGCTTCAGAACTGCCTCTGATGGTTCAGATGATCCATGGCATTGTTCCCCCTTCCTCCTGCCACTCCCTACATGGAATAGTGTTAGTCCAAAGAACCATCTACAGATAATTCTCTCTGAAGGCTTTTTGGGCATGAAAAATAGATCAAAATTCTGTTGAGCTATTTATGCTGCTTTATTTTTACAGCTCTGACAGAAATGGGAATAGGAAGATGAGATCAAGATGCTTTTGGTACATTACTGGAAACATAATAATAATAAAAAAAAGAGCAACCTCCAAGCAGTTCAGGGTCAGATCCTGGAGGTAATTTCTATACCAGGAGTGTGTAAAGCCCAGCAGGTTCTGCTCCTTCTGAGGGCTTACAGGGATTGTTGGTGCTCTTTTGAAGGCACTTGTCTTTTAGGAGTCTGTAATAATCTTTGCATTATACTGTTACAACATAATCAGGTCCTTGTCATGCTGCCAAGCCTGATAACATCAGAGCACTGAGGAATTGCAGCTCTAAACTTATTAGGAAGACCCAGATCCATCCCAAGGTATTTCCAAAGCACTGGAGCTCTGTGCTCTGCAGGGATGTGCTCCCAGCCAGGTGGCAGCTGGGGGGGGACAGATTTTTGGCTCCAGCTCCAGCAAAGGCTGGGAGTCCAGGTGTGAGAGCATCTCTCCAAGTGTTCTCAAGATGGGATTTAAAAATACTCTGTTCCTCTTTTTAAAAAAAAAAAAGAAATTCGGGAGCACTAAACCAACAGAGCTACAGTGGCTCTGCTACAGTTTAATTTTGCAGCAATTAAAGCACCAATCCCGATGCACTGGGAAGCAAAAAGCTGCTTTTCAGCTGTTTTTCCAAGCCAGGAGGATGTGGGCACTTGTCATTCCAAGGAATCCTCCCCATGCTGAGCTTTGTGATCAGAGTCTTTTCATTCCAACTTCCCACCAAGGCCATTCTCACATATCTTACCTGGTGATAAAGTCAAATCCATACCTATTGCATGTCTTGTGTTGTAGGTGATGCACTATTTAGGAGGGGTTGTGTTGCATTTGTTGGGGAAGCACAGCATAAATTTTTCCTTGGAAAAGCCTCCAGCTGGAGCAAACTCCCCTCTGGGGAGGTGTCACTCCTGCTCTGCACTTGGGGGGAATCTTGCTTTATTCTGACCTCTGCAAAACCTCAGATGTTAAATTATTTATGGTCCTTGTTAAGAGGGTCAAAAGTGGTTATTCCCTGGTGTTGCTGCAGGTTGGGGTTTGTGGAGTGGGTTGTGCACCTGCTTTGGCATTTTAAAGTAGTCATTCTGTAAGGAATTAATTCAGTCCTCTCAGCAGGAAAGGTAAGACATTTGGACACGGGACAATTTGGGCATTTCTCTTATTGCTCTGGCATAAGACAGACAGGAGCCTGTCCAAAGTATCACCTGTAAGGATAAAAAGTGAGAAAAGGAATGCCAGAAAGAAGAAAGAGAGTGAATTTTTTAAAATCTATTATAACCCTCTCCTCCCACTTCCATCCTCTACTGGAGTGTGGGTGGGCTGAGATGGTCAGGTTTGGATATGATCCATTCAAAATTCCTATTTTAAGGAGATGGCACATGATGACCCTGCCTGATCTTGTTGGAAATGATAGAACTTTTAAAATAACTTTACTTAATGGTTTTAATCAGCTTTTAATTAATTGTTTTAATTAATCATAACCAATATCTATTAATTATAAATAGTGTGTTATTCTTAAATTGCTTACTCTTAATTCCTCTTATCCAGAATTTAGTAAAGTTGTCATAAGGTATTTTGTGGGAAAATAACTTGGGAAAAGTTGTGAAACTTTAAGCTTGGATAAACTAACTCTGATCTGTTTCAATGAACAAAGCCTGGGAGGGAAAGATGGAGTGTTGGACATCTGGAATGCAGAACTTATGGACCACAAAGATGTTTTGCAGAAACAAAAAGATAAAAAAGAGACTCAGTATTCGTGTTGGAAACTCCCTAACAGAGGAAAAGGATCCTAAAAAGACTAAAAATATGAACTAATTGACATGAACAGTGAGGAATTAATAACCAATAGTGGATAGAGTACTGATTAATGAACGAGAATTATGTAGTTCAGAACCAATGAGCATTAATTACTTTGTTTGCTAAAATGCATAAAGAGGTGAAAAAGTTTTGCATCAGGGTCTGTGTGGAGGCCAAGATTTTGTTGGTCACACACAAACCTCCTGGCCAAGAATAAAGTCATTTATGCTCACTAACACTAAAAAGAGTTTTATTATCCTGATAATTTTGGAAGGACTTAGTGACAATTTGGCTATTTGGCCCTGATCCTCCAGGAAAGGTTTTCCAGGGGCTCATGACAGAGAAAAGAAACCCACAGGTACAGCAATGAAAGTCCTTTTCCTGTTCAGCAGGATGTGGAATCTGCTTTGCTTTTTCCCAGAGGTTTCCAAGGGAATTCATTAGTTCAGGATGAAGCTGTGTTGGGATTTCCAGCAGGATCCCAGAATGTGCTGAGTGTGTGGTTCCTTAACTCACCTTAATTCAGCTCCCCACTCTGATGGTTCCAGGAGAGAGTGGCATTTACAGGAGACTGGAGGAGCATTTCAGTGATGATATAGGACACAACATCCATCTCTATATAAATATATACATAAAACCATGAAATATCAGCCAGCCTGCTGGGTCTGAGGGTTCTGCAACGTGACTGTCACCCATAAACAGCCCCCAGCCAACCACCTGGAGGTGTTTATTTACCAGAATTGGGATTTAACAGGCTGGCTGGGGGATGTGAGTGTCACCACAAGCCTTGTGACAGGGAAATAAAAGTCCTCCTGCTGAGTGGGCACAAGGTTTTGGGGCATTGCTGAGCACAGAGGTTTGGGGGAGCAACCCCTTCATCCCATTCCTGACCCCTTGGCTGCTCTGGCACATTGAGGAGCAGCACAACCTGGGCCCTGAGGACATGGAATGGGACACAGCAAAGTGGGAACAGAAAGGATAGAAAGGCTGGGAATGTGTCTGTGCATGTTGTTTGTTCTGACAAAAGGAATAATTTGGAGAGATACTGTCTCTCAGAACTGCACAAAGGAGCACATGGAGAAATGATTATTTCTCTGCCTTTTTTTGCTGTTTCTCAATTTTCTTATTTAGCTCTTTGTTCTGATACATTCTGTATTATTTTAGCTTTCCTGAGTAATTGTGTTTTTTCCCTTAACTTTGGAAGTTACTTTGGAAAGGGGGGGGGGGGGTGGTGAAGATAAGGCAAAGCTGTTAAATGGGAAATCTATGGCTAATTAAGGCCTGGCTTTGCTAATCACCTTAGAAATGAAGTTATCAGCTGAAAAAGCCTGGAGTTGGTGCAATGAAAGTTTGGAATGGGCTTTCCCCCCCCCCCCCTTTCCTTCTGTCACAATGGATTCAGAGATTAAAAGTTTACCTTGCAGACAGATCTTGACACCACGAGACATGTTGTCTCTTTGCATTATCTGCAGGAGGTTGGAGCTGCTCTGGGATGGATTTCAGTTGGAATAGTTAAAATTTGGCAAAGTTATAAACAAATAAAGTCAGGATCCTTTAATGGGAGCTGTCAGTGTTCATCACAGATGTCACAGTGCACACTCCAACTGGAGCTCCATGTCCAGGACAAGAGGGAGTCACTGTCCCTTCTCCTTCTCCTTCTCCTTCTCCTTCTCCTTCTCCTTCTCCTTCTTTCTCCCCCTTCTTTCTTCTACTTCTTCTGCATCTTCTTCTGCTTCTGCTGCTTCTGCTTCTTCTGCTTCCTCTTCCTGTTCCTCTTCTTCTGCTTCTCCTCCTCCTCCTCTTCTTCTTCTTCTTCTCCTTCTTCTTCTTCTTCTCCTTCTTCTTCTTCCAATAATAATAACAATAACTATTATAATTGTTATTATAATTCTTGTTCTGCAGAGTCCAGGTGCCAACACTCTGGTTTCCCCCTGGAGGTGCTGGGACAGGACACCACCCTGGCACTGCTCTGGCTGGAGGAGGAAGAGGCACCAGCCTCATTTTCCCCTCTGCTCTTGCAGAATTCCCTTTCCCCACCATCATCTTTTCTTGTGCAAAATCCAGCTGTGAGCCCGAGTTCCCTTGCAGGGCTTGCAGTGAGGAGAAGGGGGATGTTTGAGCTCTGCTGACATCCCAGGGGAAGCAGCTCCTGCCTCAGTGTGTGCTGATAAAAACACTCTCCTGGAGTTAATAATTGTGTCTTCCCCTTCCCTGGCAGTGGGCATCACAGCACTGCTCCACTGCCTGCAGGAGCCTGGGGAGGGGACCAAATTTTCTTAATATTTATGCATTAAACCTGTATTTTCCAGGTTTTTTCCTGCTCTTTTGTTAGAGCTGTGGCTGTGCCTTCCCCTGTGGGTGTCCTGTGCTGCTCAGTGGTGCTGGTTGGACTCCAGTGCTGCTCCCCTGCACCCAGGGGAGCCCCAGGGGTGGGCAGAGGGGACAGCACAGGGTGGAGGAAGCAGCTCTGACCTGCTGGAAGGATTGAGGTGGGGGCCAAGGCAGGAGCCCCTTGTGCTCAGCAGCATCTGAGCATCCAAACCCATCTCCTGGAATCAAGGAATCACAGGGTCATAAAACCATTAGGGTTGGAGAAGCCCTCCCAGCCCATGGAGTCCACCCTGTGCCCAATCCCCACCCTGTCCCCCAGCCCAGAGCACTGAGAGTCACCTCCAGTCCTTCCTTGGACATCTCCAGGGGTGGGGACTCCAAACCTCCCTGGGCAGCCCCTTCTAATCTCTGACCACCCTTTCCATGGAGAAATTCCTCCTGATGTCCAACCTGACCCTCCCCTGGCACAGCTTGAGGCCGTTCCCTCTCCTCCTGTCCCTTGTTCCCTGGGAGCAGAGCCCGACCCCCACCTGTCTCAAAACTCCTTTCAGGGAGTTGCAGAGAGCAAAAACGTCCCTCCAAGGGCTCCCTTTCACACTTGCAGAAGCTTCCAGAAAGTGGATTGTCAGTGCAGTGCCAACTGTACTCGGACATTTCACTGCTTGAGACAAATGGTTCCTTTTCCACGTTGAATTCTTAGGACATTTTGCTTGGAAAATAATTGCAAGTGTCTCACCCAGCAGCTTTCTGCAAAACACATCAAAGATCTCTGGGTGATGGATTTGTTTTCTGTTTGTTTCCCTGGGATTTCTTCACTAGAATTCAGTGTTAACTGGTTATTTGTAAATGCCAGCCTCTTTCCTTGGGTTTTGATCCCTCCTGTGTTTGGAGTGATGGAGACATTATTGAGTCACCCTCATTCACTGGAGGGGGATGATTCTATTTTTAATTCTGCAGCACTTTCTGGGTGAATGAACGGCAAGTTAATGGTCATATGGGAATGTGAATGTCAGAAAACAAGGGGGAAACTTGAGACTTGCTCATCATATTTAACCTGCTGAGTTACATCATCTCCCTTGAGCCTTAAATGTGCCTTTAGGGGCCAGCCATGGAGAGGGACTTGGGACAAGGGATGGAGGGATAGGACAAGGGGGAATGGCTTCATACTGAAAGAAAACAGGGTTAGATGGGATATTGGGAAGGAATCCTTCCCTGTGAGGGTGGGGAGGCCCTGGCACAGGTTGCCCAGAGAAGCTGTGGCTGCCCCATCCCTGGAAGTGTCCAAGGCCAGGCTGGAGCAACCTGGGCTAGTGGAAGGTGTCCCTGCCCATGGCAGGGGGTGGGAATTAGATGATCCTTAAGGCCCCTTCTGACCCAAACCATCCTGTGATTCTATGATTTCATCCTTTGTAGGATGCAATATAAAGACTCTGCCTTGTTAAATAGGCTAAACATTAATTAATTTGACAACACCTATTCTTTTTTGTTAGTTTTGATGTGCTGGTTCTTGATTACCTAATTTCTTGATTACCTATCCATTAGGAGATAATTCTTCAAAGGATTAGAAAAACTCCAGGCTCCTGTTAATGCTGTTCTTTGCAGCAAATGAAGGGACCGTGGGTTTATTTGCCATGAACATGAAAAATCCAGTAGGGTTCCTTAATAGGAAGATAATCTCTGTGTTACAGGTCTTTTATGGGACAAATAGGGACATAAATGAGGGTTCCCAAAGAACCTTCTGCCCTCAGGGTCTGAGAGCTACAGGCTGGGACATCAGGGCATGTGAGGATGGAGATCCACTGAGTCCTTCTGGTTCAAATTCTGGGGCCTTTCTGTGGGGTTCAGTCATGGTTAGTGCAGGGATAAAACAGCAGAACTCTTCAGAAATGCCTCGTAAAACCAGATTTTTTAAAAATTTATGCTGACAGGTCAGGCAGATAGAAGTCTCGTCTTTCCTTGTGTAATTTTTGGATTTAATTTGTATTGATCTCTCTGGAACTGACTCATGGATGTGTACACAGGCACTCAGGTTACTCCAATAGGTGAATTTCCAGGTAGTTTGTCCAGATATTCCAGAAATTTAAGAAAGTTGACATGAATTACTTAACTAAAGCACAGAAGGACAACAGTGGGACTGTGTGACTGGAGGTAGGCTGCTGGAAAATGACATTTTAATTAATTTTACAGTTTAAAAATAATTCTTCTGACCTCAGATCAGGATAAAACCAAACAAATCCCCAAACCTACAGAAAGAGGTGGTGCTGGGGTCACCCAGGACTGGCAGTTTTATTCAATGTTGTGGTTGAACCCAGCACCTTTGGGAGCCCCCAAGGGCAGAATTCAATGTTCTGATTTCACCAAGAGGTTGAGAAACTAAAGAACTGAGCAGGCAAGAAACACAGGCAGTTCCTGTCTATTGCCTTGGGAATAAAACTTTATAAATATATATTTTTTTTCCTTTAGAACTGCTTTGTTCCAGTCTGGTTTGCTCCGTTGCAAATCTTGGAGCAGACCTGGAGGGCTTGGCTGGGCAGAGGTGGGGTGTGGGAGGATGGGAGGGATGATGACCCTCTAAGAGCTCAGCTCTGAATTCACTCTGCAGGCAGGAAATTGTATTTAAAAGTCTTCTGAGAGGTCAAACAGCAGAGCAGGAGCAGGATGGGGGTTTTCTGCTTCAGGTTCGTGCACAAACTAATAAAATGGAGCTTATTTTTGATGTGGGCTCCTCCTGCAGCAGGAGAGAGAACAGCAGGAGGAGCACCAGGGAAGGTGTCCTTGTTTGGGTCACCTGGGCTTGGGACATGCACGTGCCCCGCACTGGGGGGGCTAAAACTCCCCCTCAGAGGTGCCCCCAGGGCAGCTGATCCAGGCAGGAGGCTCCTGGTGCAGCCAACGGAGCAGGGTCGGTAAAAATCCGGGACCACAGATGGGAGGAAAGGTGGTGAGCCTGGAGGAGATCCCAGAAACACTGGGTGTTATAATAACTGTGCAAAATGCTAATGCAGAGCAGGCTGCAGAATAGGGAACACTGGCATTATTAGGCCTGCTTGGCATGTGTGTTTGGAATGGTTTCCTGGTGTCCTGCAGACCTGGCTGTAAGGTAAATAACTTCTCAGTGGTGATAAACAGGGAGGGAAGAACCCAGGTGTGGCAAGTCTTCCTGCAAATTCCCTTTTCTGTGAGGTAAAAAGATCTTTAAAGATCTGATAACTTGCAAAGTGTGATTTAAGGGAATTTTAAAGAGCACGTGAAAGAACAATAATGAACAAATGTTTTCAAGTGGGAGAAATCTGTCCCTGCCATATGTTCCACTGACTCATCCCTTCTGCAGGAGGAGATCTTGCAATTGTTTGAACTGTTCCAGTTGCTTAACCCTTTTTATTTGGGAGCAGCATCACTGTAAACTCAGCTCTGGATCCTACACGGTGCGAAGGACCCAGGCAATGGCTGGAGCTGTGTCAGGGCAGGCTCAGGTTGGATCTCAGCCAAAGGTTCTTCCCCCAGAGGCTGGTTGGGCACTGCCCAGGCTCCCCAGGGCAGTGGGCACAGCCCCAAGGCTCAGGGAGGGTTTGGCTGATCCTCTGGGGCACAGGGGGTGACTCTTGGGGCTGGGCCTGTGCAGGGCTGAGGGTTGGACTGATGATCCTTGAGGGTCCCTCCCAACTCAAAACATTCTGTGATTCTGTGATCCTGCTGGAAATGCCAACACAGCTTCATTCTGAAGTAATAAATTCTCTTGGAAACCTCTAGGAAAAAGCAAAGGAGACTCCACATCCTGCTGAAACAGAGAAAGGACTTTTGTTGCTGTACCTGTAGGTTTCTTTCCTCTGGAAAACCTTTCCCAGATGATCAGGGCCAAGCAGCCACATCAGGCTATTCATGATATACCAGATCTTGGTATTAATGTGCCATCTCCTTAAAATATGATTTTTGAATGTACCTGACCATCTCAGCCCACCTCCATTCCAGCAGGGAATGGAAGTGGGAGGAGAGGGTTATAACACACTATAAAAAATTAATTCTTTCTTTTTCTTTTAGCATTCCTTTTCTCCCTTTTTATCCTCGATGATCCTCAGTGGTCCCTTCCAGCATATTCTGTAATCCTGTAAAGTATAGAGTGGTTTGGGTTGGAAGGGACCTTAAAGCTCATCTAGTTCCAACCCCTGTGCCATGGAGAGGGGACAGATTCCCCCTGGTGAGCAAAGGCCAAACGTGGCCGTGGGTTTCCCCTTCCCAGCTCTGCTCAACCCCCACCACTGCTGCCCCTTTCCCCTGCCCAGAGCGTGCTGCTGACGGTTCTGTGGGTTGTGTTGCAGGTGTGGCTGTGTGGGGGCAGCATGGAGGTCCTGCCCTGCTCCAGGGTGGCCCACATCGAGCGCAAGAAGAAGCCCTACAACAACAACATCGGGTTCTACACCAAGCGCAACGCGCTGCGCGTGGCCGAGGTGTGGATGGACGACTACAAGTGGCACGTCTACATCGCCTGGAACCTGCCCCTGGAGGTACTGAGGCCTTCAAATCTATGGGAAATAAGTTTTAGGAGAGCTTGCTAGCATCTTCAGCTTGCTAGTATTCCCAGAATTCCTAAAAACGCTGTTTAACATCCTTTGTTGAGGATCTCGACAGACAAGGGTGTCTGTAAAATGTACTGAGAACGAGACACAACACTTGGTATAAGTAGTCAAAACTGCTCAGGAGCCTTGAAACCCATCCAGAAGGGTCAAAGGAGATGAGGAGGAAGATGAAGAAGATGAAAAGAAGGGGTGTTTGGGACCTCTGACTCAAATTCGGGAGGCATGTCAAGGGTGGTACTAAGGGAGGGACGTGTTTGGGAGACGGTTCTACATCACCTGGAACCTGCCCCTGGAGGTACTGAGGCCTTCAAATCTGTATGAAATAGGTTTTAGGAGAGCTTGCTAGCATCTTCAGCTTGCTGGTATTCCCAGAATTCCTAAAAACTCTTTTTAACATCCTTTGTTAAGGATCTTGACAGACAAGGGTGTCTGTAAAATGTACTGAGAATGAGACACAACACTTGATGTAAGTAGTCAAAACTGCTCAGGAACCTTGAAACCCTCCCAGAAGGGTCAGAGGAGATGAGGAGGAAGATGAAGAAGATGAAGATGAGGGGTTTTGGGACCTCTGACTCAAATTTGGGAGATGTGGCGAGGGTGGTACTAAGGGAGGGACAGGTTTTGGAAGTGGGTGTAACCGTACTAGGTAGTGCTTTGAATTTTTAATTAGGTAATGCTTTGAGTTGTTAATTAGGTAATTAATAAAAGCAAGAGGCTTTGGTAGTTCTGGAGTCAGGCTTTGGAAGAAATTAAGATTCTCATGCATCCAGCGTCATAATAATAAAAGGAATAATAGTAAAACTCACAAATTGAGTCTTAGGGGTTTTCTTTTAAGTGCTGATTTTAGGCATCAGCACAGCCAAGGCACCTTGTCCTGAGTTTTCACTTTGCTTCTTAAAAACTTGAATTCTAGAGCATTTATTTAGTTCCCCTTGGTGCAGAAGAGCCTGAACCACCCTGGGTTGGTGGCTCACAGGAGATCCCCTCCCAGCAGCACCATGGGCAAGTGCCCCAAAACACTCTCTTGAAACAGCTTTGGTGGTTCAAATATTTCTGCACAGAAATGCTCAGGTTTTCTTAGGTCTGATATGTTATTTTTGAAGTAAAACCTTCACGTCACAGCGTGATGGAAAACCATGGGATCCCACCAGCAGGTCAAGATGACCATGCCTGGAGGCACATCCTGCATGGGGACTGCTCGAGGTGGTGCCTGGCACTGCTGGGGAAAGCTCTGTAGGCTCCAGGAAGGCTTTGTGGAGATCCAAAGCTGCTGCCTGGGCTCAGCTCTCCGGGCAGGCTGTGTCTGATCTTGGAACCCGAGGGCATCTCCTGCTGCCTGGAGCACGCTGGGAGCAGCCCTGGCAGGGCCAGACCCCGTGTCCTGCTGCTGGTCCTGCCAGAGGAGGACAGAGGGGTGCTGGGAGTGGGGAGACAGGGATGCCCTCCAGGTTTTGAGTGGGATGAGGGTTCTGGGTGCCCTCCCACATGCAGGGGCTGACTGAGGGCTGGGCTGCTCTCCTCAAGTGTGAGGTGAAACCATTGCCAGGAGTGTCCAGAGCCCATGTGAGCAGTTATTTCCAACCACCCTCATGGTGCTAAAAGTAACCCCCAAAATATTCCTGCTTGGCAGATCTCAGCAAAGAGCTGCTGGGATCCTGATCCTGATCCTGCTGTGCTGCAGCAGCATCCTCAGCTGGTAGCAACTGCTCCAGGGCCTCTGGAAAAACAATACAGCCTAAAAAATCTGAGCTGCTGCTGCTTCCTGAGGAAAGGTTACACCTGTGGAGAGTTCCTGGCATTTGGAGCCACAGCAGTCCCAGAATTTGTACAGAATTGGTACCTGTGCTGCAGGTTGGTCGTCCTGGGGGTGCTGGGGAGTCCTGGGGTAGTTGGTTTAAAAACAGGAAGAAATAGCTACATAGAGATGGAAGGAAAAGCTGTTTGCCCAGGGAGCTGCAGGAGGGCACTGCCTGCCATGGGCACTGCTCCAGGTGCTTGGGAGAGGAGTGGTAGGACTGAGGGAATTTAGGGATCTCTGAAAAGAGATTTCAAGACCCAAATGCCCATAAGTAGAGATCTTAAATCCTGATCTTCAGCCTGATTCCTGTTTAGAGGTGAGGTACCACCAACCTGCTCAGGAACAGCTTCAGAGCAGGGCAGGAAGGGCTTAAAACCCATTGGGAAGCTGCAGGTCCTGTAGAGCTTGGAAAAGGCAGGAGCACACAGATCAGCACTGGGGGTGGGTCTGGGTAACCCAAAATCAATTGGAGAATTTTATATACCCAGAAAAATCCAGATTTAATTTTCGAGCAGCCTCGTTTGCTGGGGTGGGATTTTATACACAGAATTCTTTTGTGGTGCCACTGAATTCCAACCCAAGACAAACCCCTGCCCTGCTATTTCAGGTGCTGCCTGGCTGATTTTTTGTCCCACCCCATTTTGTCCACTCAGATGTCAGCCTGTCCTACCTGTCTGCACTGAATCATCTTTATTTTTACCTCTGAGCTACCAGTGGCACATTAAAATGGTGTCTTTTCTCAGAGTGAATAATTCATTAGAAGATCATTACAAGCATTGTAATGGAAAATTGCTTTCCCAGTTGTATTTAATGATCACTGCAAAGACAAGAGCAGGAGCTAAAATAAAGTAGAAACCCAGACACCTGTAGGAAGGAGGAAAAGGGGCTGCAATGTGCCTTTGGCTTCCTTGCTGCTGCATTAGCTCCTCGAATTCCATGATGGAATAAGAGGTTAAAGGGGGGCAGCTCTCTCCAGCCCCTGCTCCCAGCTCCTGTAGGATTATCCCTCGGGGACAGCTTTGCTTTTAAATCTGCTCAAGCAGTGGCTTCCTCCATGTCTC